GCTCTGGCAAAGCCTCAGAAGCGCGGGAACCCGCCCGGTGCCCCTGGTCTGCTGGAGACGGTCTCCAGCAGACCAGGGGCACCGGAGCAGCTTACCAACGGGGCTTTCTCACCCCGACTTCCGGGGCGAGAAAGCCCCGTTGGTAAGTGCGGATCTGACGTAAGTCGGATCCGCGTAAGTCGGGGACTGCCTGTAAATGGAAGTAACATTATTGTTGTACTTTGAGAGCCAAACAGAAATTCAATAAATATCAAGCTTTAGTAACATCAAGTTAGTCTGGAGACTATTGCTAGTTAGTTTGTTTCCTGTTTCCACTGATACTTCAATATTAATGGGGAAATTAGAACTGTGAATGTTAAAACTGTATTTTCAAGATTCATAATTCCATCCTACATTGTTGTTCCTTACTCAGTATCAACAATATGCATCAATGAGGAAAAAGCATACAGTGCTTTGATTAAAATAAAAAAATCCACCCTGCTTTAAGAAAAGAAGTGATAAAAAGTTATAGACAATTCTTCAGGCAACACTGCTGCTTGCTCTGCTATTTTCTATTTGGTATCTGAATCTGGCCCTAAAGCCATCTTGTCATGTATTGCTTAATCATAAAGTGAATAATTTGACAAAAGCAGCTTTTAAACCTTGCTAGAAATACGACCTCTGCAAAGTCTAATCAACCATAAGAGTTTATTCTGATAACTGGGATTAGAAATGGTTTCATCATCTTTTCATATGTTATTTTGCTAGATCTTTTTAGTGAAGGAGATCTTTGAAAACCCTAGATATTTTCCTCTATGCCACCTGAAGTTCAGCAAAGGTCTTATTAAGCTCTCTCACTTTTATAAGTCTCCTTTCTATTCAATTACTTCAGTTCCAAAACCCCATAACTACTGAATCATTTACTGCAGGTTGAACCTCTATGATACAGGATTCTCTGGTCTGGCAACAGCCATGGTCTGGCAGGACCGCAAATGTTGCTGGACCAGAGAGCCCCAGGCAGAGAGGTTGCCAGTGGCTGGGAGCTCAGTGTCCTCATGGCAGAAATCCCAGTCAGTGACCAGCAGACAAAGCAAGGCTGGGCAGGGAGTCCTGCCAGCTGAGCTCATAGCTCGCCAGCCAGGGGCAAGGAGCTCCTGCCTGCTGAAGGCATAAAGCTATTGCTGGCCAGGGACACAGAGCCCCTTCCTGCTGGAGGCTCAGAGCTGCCACCAGCTGGGGACACAAAGCCTCTGTCAGCTGGAGGCGTGGATTCATTGCCAGCTGGGGGCAGGGAAGCCCTAGCAGCCCAGGTCATGGAGGGGAGCCCCGAGCCTCAGGGCCAGATCCAGGCAAGCCTTAGGTTGCTCACCCCTGCCCTATATCATTGTTGGTCCTAGAATGAGCTGCTTGTAACTATTCTGCCCCACTGCACCTTAGTGAAATTATTAAAGTTAACTGTGTCTAACTAAAGTAATTGAAACAGTTGAAGAGTTAAGTACAGTATGAACACACAAATAACAATACTTAATTTAGAATTGACTTAGACCCCTCCACTAACAGTGTAGACAACCAGCCTCTAAAATGCAAGTTTCAGTACATTTACTGCTGTACAATAACTTCAATCTCCAACTGAAAGCCATCTTTTACTTAAGCTACAACAGTATTTTTTTGTAGATTTAGTTTAAAAAATTAATAATATGAAGTTCAGAAAAGCTTCAATGAAAAGTGAGAATTGCCACATGGGCCTTCTAAAAACTAAAATCCTTTATTATAAAGCTGGCTGAATATTAGAAAAAAATACTCAAGTGGTACAACCTGCCCTCTTCCCCCCCAACAAATACTGGTACATATAGACTCTCTCTCTCAGAAAGACAACACCACTATTCTCTCATGAACTCACTGTCATTAGGCAAATTCAGTAAACTGACAAATTCGCTGACTCAAAATGAAGCGTTTATTTCTGGTGAAAAATTTTCCAGATTAACCACCCACACAGAGGCCAAGTCAGTTTCTGGAGATACTGAAGAATACACACCACAAATTCACAGTCATACTTAGAGGAAGCAACTTGTTGCTGAACAATTTTAAACTCAGATTGAAGCCAGTCTTCTCCAGTTTTAGGGAGAGCTGCTGTTTTCCTGTGTCTCTCCCCAGGGAGCTAAACCAGATGTCCTTCCCTACAGCTCTTAGTTCTTCCCTACAGCTCCCAGATGTTAGCTCCACTTAGAAAGGCAGCAGTGAAGGGCATGCTTGGGTAAGGCAAACCTTCAAAAACTGCACCCCCTCCCTCCGCAATTACCAGTCATCTCTGGAAGGAAGGCCCTAACCCCACCACCCTGCTGCAGAGCAGAATGGTATGGGTGTGAGGGGCTCCATGAATCACTCTAATGGTAAAAGAGCCACAAGCAGCTCATGAGCCACAGTTTGGACACCTTGATTATTATAAGTTATTTAAAAAAAAAAACAAGACCTCTACTGCCTCTATATCCAGCACTCTTACAGACCTTTGCTAAACTGTTTCAGAACTAAGATTTTGTGGAAACAATACAGTTTGATTGAACAGACTAAATTATATTACAATGGATTTAATAAATAGTTATACAAGCAACAATTTATTGATGCAGGTCAGGTAAATAATTGCACTTGAATTATTTGAACGAATGACGTTGAATTCGTTGAATTTTAAAATTCGTTGAATTTTAAATTAAGTTTAGCTAATTCAGGTTGAAAACAATGTAACTGGGTCTGTTTCTATAGCCTCTGATCACACTTAAACAGTAAATAAGCTAAGTCTATTTTACCTCATTTTGGTGCCATTTTTCTGGAGTGACAGTATTTGTTTTATTCCAAATCTATGTGAATTCAACATTTCCACCAGCTTCCTAAGGGCTCATGGTTGCTTTTAATATTTATTAAAGCAAACTACAATCAGTACACCTTAGCTTACAATGTCTTAGGGGAAGTCTACTCAGATCAAGATGGAGCATCAAAGAGCAATGGGATCTTCTGAAGGGGGGCTGAGCCTATATACGTCACTAACAAATGACATCTGTTCATTCAATGACAAATAACCCTTGTCATTCGTTCAAGGAAGTCTTGAGGAAGACTTGTCATTTGTTCAAGGAAGTTGAGGCCTAAGGCTTCTATCATGAGCTCACCAACCCTGACACCACATCGATGCAGCAGCCTGAGAGCTGCACTTCTGAAAAGAAAACTGCCATGTGTGTACACATACCCCCCCACACCAGGCAGAATGGTCCACAAACCAAGTTCAGGGTCACCGCCTCCGAGGTACCACCAAGGCATCAGGGATGATCATAAGCCCCGTCACCCTGGGCAGCTGACAGTGTGTGCCAAGCACACACGGAGAAGCTGAACGAATTCTTTGTTTCAGTCTTCAGAGCTGAGGATATTGAGGAGATTCCCAAACTTGAGCCATTCTTTTTAGGAGACAAATCTGAGGAACTGTCCTAGACTGAGGTGTTATTAGAGGAAGTTTTGGGAAAAATTGATAAACTTAACAGTAACAAGTCACTGGGCCCAGATGGCATTCACTCAAGAGTTCTGAAAGAACTCAAATGGGAAATTGTGGAACTATTAACTGTGGTTTGTAACCTATCCTTCAAATTGGCTTCTTTATCTAAAGACTGGAAGATAGCTAACATGATGCCAATATTTAAAAAGGGCTCTAGACGTGATCCTGGCAATTACAGACTGGTAAGTCTAATGTCAGTACCGGGCAAATTAGCTGAAACAATAGCTGAAGACTAAAATTGTCAGACACGTGGATGAATATAATTTGTTGGGGGAAAATCAACATGGTTTCTGTAAAGGGAAATCATGCCTTACTAATCTGCTAGAGTTCTTTGAGGGGGGTCAACTAAGAGGTGGACAAGGGGGAACAACCAGATATAGTATACTTAGATTTCCAGAAAGCCTTTGATAAGGTCCCTCACCAAAGGCTCTTAAGTAAAGTGAGTTGTCATTGGATAAGAAGGAAGGTCCATTCATGGACTGATTGGTTAAAAGACAGGAAACAAAGGGTAGGAATAAATGGTAAGTTTTCTGAGTGGAGATAGGTAACTAGTGGGGTCCTCCAAGGGTCTGTCCTGAAACCCATCCTATTCAACTTATTTATAAATGATCTAGAGTAAGGGGTAAACTGTGAGGTGGCAAACTTTGCAGATACCACCAAACTACTCTAGATAGTTAAAACCAAAGAAGACTGTGAAGAGCTTCAATAAGATCTCACCAAACTAAGTGATTGGGCAACAAAATGGCAAATGAAATTTAATGTTGATAAATGTAAAGTAATTCACATTGGGAAAAATAATCCGAATTCTATACACAATATGATGAGGACTAATTTAGCCACAACTACTCAAGAGAAAGATCTTGGAGTCATTGTGGATAGTTCCCTGAAAATATCCACTCAGTGTGCAGCAGCAGTCAAAAAAGCAAATAGAATGTTAGGAGTCATTAAAAAAGGGATAGATAATAAGACTGAGAACATCTTATTGCCTCTATATAAAACCATGGTACACCCACATCTTGGATACTGCATACAGCTGTGGTCGCCTCATCTCAAAAAAGATATATTGAAACTGGAAAATGTTCAGAAAAAGGCAACAAAAATGATTAGGGGTTTGGAATAGGTCCCATATGAAGAGATTAAAAAGACTTGGACTTTTCAGCTCAGAAAAGAGGAGACTAAGGGGGATATGATAGAGATCTATAAACTCGTGATGGGTGTGGAAAAAGTAATTACTTATTCCCACAATAAAAGAACTAGGGGGTTACCAAATGAAATTAATAGGCAGCAGGTTTAAAACAAACAAAAGGAAGTTTTTCTTCACTCAGCGCATAGTCAACCTGTGGAACTCCTTGCCAGAGCATGTGGCGAAGGCTAGAACTTTAACAGAATTAAAAAAAAAAGAGCTAAGTAGATTCCTGGAGGTTAGGTCCATCAATAGTTATTAGCCAAGACAGGGAAGAATGGTGTCCCTAGCCTCTGTTTCTCTGGAGATGGGTGACAGGGGAGGGATCACGTGAGGATTACCTGTTGTGTTCCCTCCCTCTGGGGCATCTGGTATTAGCCACTGTTGGCAGACAGGATACTGAGCTAGATGGACATTTGGTCTGATCCAGTATGGCCATTCTTATGTTCTTATAAGGAAGCGCTACAGAGTGCCTGGAGCAGTTACCTCTAGAACAGACAAGCGCCTGGGGAAAAGCTGATGTGTATTATGTGGGGGGAGGGCAGGGGGGAGACACACACACAACTCTGGTACTGACACCACAGCAGCAAATGACAACCAACCCTAGAATGCCAAAATGTGTGTGACCCCCCCCCCCAACATGTGGCTGCTTCACGCCCCGCCCCCTGCACCAGCTAAGGCTGCGGGCAGTCAAGGCCTGCGCCTTAGGGGTCATGTGGTGGCAAAGCTCCTCCAAAGAACCCCCCACCTCACCAGCACAGAACCCACGTCACCCCAGAGCGCGCCCCAGCCCCGCCCCCGGAGCCGCACGTGGCGCAGATAACGGCCTGGCCTCGCGCTTACCCGGCAGCTGCCCAGGAGTCTGCAGCCGCGCAACGCGGCTAGGCCCGGACCCCGCGCAGCGAGCAGCGGCTCCGGCCCAGGTCAGACCCCGCAGCCAGAGCCCCCAAGCCCCGCCACCCGCAGCCATGTTCCGGTCCCGCGTTGTCCCGCGTGGGGTGAATCTCCAACCCTCGTCCTGGCTCAGTAGCGCGGGGAACAACTGGGCATGCGCCGCGCGGGGTGTGCGCATGCGTTCCTAGCGTGCGGTGTCTCACGTGATCTATGTAACCGACGCTGGGTCAGTGGGGAAGGGACCGGACTACGAGAAAGTGCGCAGGCGCCTCAGCGGGACCGAACGCGGGATGGCTGCGCATGCGCCTCCTGGAGGCGGAGCGCATGGGGAATGCGCAGGCGCCTTGAGACTCAACTCTTGGTCCCTTGGGGAGGGCGGGATTCCAGTCCACGCCCCGCTCTTAGCAGCGCAGGCGGCGGTCAGCGCCGGGGGGGGGTTTGCGGTGCCGCGGGACGGTGCCTTGCTCCGTGCAGCCCCTTTCTAATGGCACGAACCCAACCCCCCTCTTGCCCCGGCCCCTCTCTGGGGGGCGCCCGGGCTGCGGATTGGGGCACGAGGGGCAGCCTTAGCATATCCCAGGCTTGCAGCTCCGGGGAGGCAAGGGCGTGTTCCTCTAACTCCAGTGGCACATGGCAGTAGCAGCTAGCAGCGTTGTGTGGGATAGAGCCACCGGGCCAGGGTCAGAGCCCGCAACTTGAAACCGGGGATGAAAGCAACTAGTTGAATAGCAGATAAGAATAGGCTTGACTCGTCGCTTCCTCGGCTGCCTCTGTAGCAGAAGGAGCAAGGTGGGGAGCCGGCCTAAAAGGTGGGTGGGGGAACGTGTATGGGGGAGGCAAAGACACAGCAGGGAAACAGCTCTAGCAGGGACTCAAGCAGTCCCCGTTCACCTGTGCTGCTGCCTTTGAAATGTAGCTACATTTCAAAGGCAGAAGTACTATAGTTGGGACCCAGCATTAGTGGGGGCTGCTGCAGTCTCCACTAGCCAGTTCCCACTGCACCTCTGGGGATAGCGAATGCCCTATCTCCTCGTCAACTCAATAGAGTACTAGATGGGAATTCTTTCAACTACTTGACTAGGTGATTGAAATTTAACATCCCTACTTGAAACCTCTAACCTGCTGCCCCAGGTCCTGCATACAAACTCACTCCTAGATCTTGCACCCCTTCTATATTCCAGTCCCTGTCTAGAGCTCCCTCCTGCGCCTAAATTCTATTGTAGACCACCCCATCTCTATTAATAGAAAATTGTGGTCTGTCGCCACTTAACAAAATTCTTGGGCCTGGCTCTCCTACAGAAATTACTGCCCATCCTTACTCTAGCTCCTAAACAGATGGGCAGCCAGGGAGGCTAGAGGCCCTGACACCACCCATGGGTGCCACTCCACTATGGGTGGCCAACCAGACTTTTAGCGGCCAGGGTCCCTTTTTGGGATCTATATAAAATATAGTCAATAGGCTTAGGCCACCTTCTAGGAATCCACAGAACAACATTCCTCCTCCACCCCCTCTAGTCTATTTGTAATCATATTGGGAGTCTTGGCAGATGCATCCAAAATTGCAAGGTACGTAGAGACTGAACTAACATCCTCTGCCTTCAGGTCAAGATCAAGTCATAGGAAAAAACGTGAACGTGTGCGTTTTCTGTTATGTGCATGAATACAAATTAAGGGCTGGCCATTTACAACACTCAGACTAAGTTTTATTAAAAAAGAAGGAAGGTTAATGAAAGATATACATGCCATGCAATTTGGGACGGCAGTATTCTTCAAAAGATAGTTTTTAGATATAGCAAATACCTATACTTAAAGATATATTTTTCACAATTCTTGAGTGGAACAAATTATAGGGTCATCTGATTTCAACTACTTTTTGCATTTGTCAACAATATTAAATATATGGAATGCAAATGATTATAGTGATAAAACTGAGTGTTTTATGAGAAGAAATCAGGTCAATATTTAAAAATAAAACCAAGCTTTTTTAAAAACATTTATTTAGAAGTCGCATCATGCAGGATACAAAAATTATTAGAAAACCTGTATAACCATACATAAGTAAAATCAAGGTACAATCACAGGAAAAATACAATTCAAAGCATCTATTCTCTGGTATTTTTGTTTTAAACTGATTAGATTACAAGTTTCTCACAGCTGTAATCTGCATAAACACTAAGATAAACATTTTCTCTGGTGATAAATTCCATCTTTCCTGATTCATCACATCAGATCTGGCACATAGCAACCATGTTAACTGTGCATACCATAAAAAAAGAATTTCATACCCTTTCATGCCAGGTACAGGATTTTGAAAGTGCAACATTTTCTACAAGCATAACATATTCTTTCAGATTTAAATTTGGTTAACCAAAAGCCATTTTCTTTTTCGCTTTTAGTGTTTCTTTAATTAAATTAATTAATTTTAGTGTTTCTTTAATTAAATATGGCACTTATAAATCCAGAATACTAAAATAAGGAACTATTTGAAGACTTCCCTGAAGTCCAGGTTTCATTCAATAATAACTTATCTTTATATAATAGTCAAGGCTAGAAATTAGTTTTTAAATTTGGAGAACATTTATACAAGGAGCATACATTAAAAAAATAGGTCTTTGCCGTCTTTGTTACTTAAGAACTTATCTTGCTTTGTGCTCTACCCTATTATGTTGCCCAATTCTATGATCATGGATGCTTTGAACAGTCTCATTGGCTGAGGTTAGTGGGAGATTTTACGCAGGCTTCATTTGGGCAAGGATTTCACTCATTGATTTCTGTAGGCTGTTCAATCAGCACATGTTAATTTTAGAGTAGACTATCTATGGCAAGAAATTGCTACAGCAACCAGACAGTGAATCAGTTCAATGCCTCCTCCAGAGGGAATGCAGAAAACTTATGGCAAAGTTAAGTTTGATATTCTTGTCTCCATTTATTTTTGTCTTGTGAGAGAGTCCATCTTTGAGATGGTATTTTTGTTGTGCTATATGTAAATGAATTTATACATACAGCTTGTGCAATCAGTAATTTAAATGTACAGAATACTGTAGCGATTGAATTATAGTAAAATTAAGGAAGAATTTTGACATTGTTCATTACACAAAGCTAAAGCATAGCTCGAATTTCATTCTTTTACAGGAGTCATGTAAATCTTTGGCTCTGTAGTAATACTTACATGTATTATAGGCTGGGGTGATTGGTTTGTTCCATATTTTTTCTTTTTTTTTTTTCTGTAGTAATACTTACATGTATTATAGGCTGGTGTGATTGGTTTTTTCCACATTTTTTCTTTTTTTTTTATAAAATACATTTAAGTAAAAGAACTTTAAAAAGCCAGCTAATTACCTATAAATGTCAAATAGTACATATTAAAAATATATGCTATTATAACTTTCTGTTCCATTTCTAAAATGTCTGCAAATCAATGAGCACACACAAACAATTCTGTAAACAGTTTAGTTCGTATTTTTGAAGACATCTTCTATATAGTGTTGATAAAAATTACTATTGAATCAATATATCATACTTAAGTTGACTTGATTATCCATTAGGACACTATGACATTTTCAATAGCTTTAGTTTTTTTGCTACTATAATGATCAGCTAAAAAAAGCAAATAGTCTTATTTTCACTTGTATATATGAAATCCTTTGATTATGAGGGTCTGTGTGTACATCATAGGAACGATACTTGTGAACGTTATCAATATTTTGTATATGGCTTTTCAATTTCACTTGCATATGGCTAAATTCATGTATAAGGTTATTGCAATATGCCTTGTAAATGAACTCTTGCACCATTTTATTATAACATGAAGTGCGTGTAGCCTTCTGCTCCTGTAACTATAACATCCATCCATATCCTCATGGCTTCTGGTGTTGGAGCAACCATGTAATATATTCGGTCATGAGTCTTAACGCTGAAAGTGAGTAATGGGTTAGGACTCTGAAATAAAGAAGATACAGCAAAATTAGTTGTATGAAATGAAACCAGTTTACTGACAGTGAATAAAATCCTGTACTGGGAGAGTGTTAAGGAAAAAAACAGTTAAACAATGGCTACTTTACATCTCATATTGAATAACTCAGGATCTGCTCATCTCCATTCTACTATCTCTAGCAGGAAATAGAGGTGTTTCTGAGTATTCAGGCCCACTGGAGACAGACTGTATGACTTACTCCTGAACTGAGCAGCAATATGTGAGACCATCAGCTTTAGACCACAATTAGCTTCCCCTTGTGCACCTGCTGCATCAAGTGATCAAAAATCATTTTCAGTTTTCAAGTTCACATCTTGAGGATAGATTAAAACAGTTCACAATCCTTCCCAATTGCAGATACTAGTCAGGGTACTCCTCTCAGGGCTTAAAAATCAAATCAAATCCCATCTTGGGATAGAAACATAACTATATCCCCTGATTGAGACCATCTGTAAATGCAGTTCTAGTAACCTAGGATGAAATTCTGGCCCACTGAGATCAGTGGCAAAACTCCCATTAACTTCAGTGGAACCAGGATTTCACCCTTAAAAACACCACATTTAGGGAGAACCTCTGTGTATGTGTAATCAAACATATTTTCAGCATCTCCGACTAGAGGCTCATACAGAAGGTTCCATGTGCTCGTCTCTCACCTGTGGAGTCCTCCCTAAGCCCTTAGGGCATGATTACACTATAGAGAAGATTGAAGTTGCTGCTGTCAATCTTCAGGGTTCAAATTAGCACGTCTAGTGAAGACACACTAATTCGAACTGCGAGGTGCACTCCGGTCGATGCTGATAGTCCTGCTTCCATGAGGAGTAAGGCAAATTGAAGGAAGAGTGTTCTCCCTTTGACTTCCTGCAGTATGGACAGCGCCAAAAGTTGAGTTAAGCTACTTTCACTTCAGCTACGCAATTAATGTAGCCGAAGTTGCGTATCTTAATGCGACCTTGTCCTGTAGTGTAGACATACTTTACCACCATCTCTCTTTTTTCCAGAGATGGGTGGTGGTATAGAACAGAGATTTATATTTCCCCTGTGCCCAGAATTAAGCTTTTTACATTTAAGTCTGGGAGTAGGTGCTGTATCTAAGTGCTGTTCTCTTTATATAATGAAAACTCCATTAAAAGAGGCCAAATCAATTTGTCTAACTTCTTGTTTTCAACCTCTGCTGAATTTCTAACATTTATCTGAAGGATGAGTTCTGACTACTCAGTGACTGGAAAATCTGAAAAGTGTCTAAGACTGGGACTTTTAGAGCAGAGATAGTTTAGTGCTGACCCTAATGCTTAGAAAGGAAGAACCTTTTTTCTTTTTCTTGTAAAGTAATAAACACTATAAATTCTTTGTGTGGGGCAGCTCACTTGGGGCAGCTCTGCAGCAGGAGCAGACACCTGCTGCTACTTCACCGCCATGGACCGCATCCTGGAGGAGCCGCCACACCAGCAGGACCCCCGAGCAGTCCCAGGAGAGGAGTCAGCAAGGTTGTCCAGGGAGGCCACACCATGTAAGTGCTGTCACTGTCCCCCTCCCGGGGAGGGCGAGGGGGGGAGGGGAGACCAGGGACTACGCGCGTGGCCCTTGCTTACCACACATCACATAGCAACCTGTGCATGTGCAAGCACGTGCCGTGCCACCCCTGGGCAGGTGGCTCCAGCTGCCTGCCACACAGGCCGTGGCCTGATAGCCACGTGTGTGTGTGAAGAGACCGGACATGCTCCTGACCCCGGACCAGGACATAGCAGCATGCCCTCCTTTCACAAGTCCCCTCTAACATCTCCCTTCCCCCC